CAACCCTGCCATCATCTCCCAGGATCCACCACAGCCATGGCATCATCTCCCAGGATCCACCACAGCCATGACATCATCTCCCAGGACCCAGGACACCCGGTGGTGTCATCATTTACCAGGATGCCCTTCACCCTTGGATCATCTTCCAGGATCCCTCATCTTGGGAGCCGAGAACTGCAACCGCTGTATTTCAGTTGTCTTCTGGGTCATGTGGCACCTACCGCTGTGCCCATAGGGAACCAGGCACAACACGTGCCATCCTGCCATTGCCTCAAGAATAGAGTAGGGACCCCCTCCGATGACACCATCCCCACTCTGGCCCTTCTTGATGATGTCACTGCCTCACTCCAGACTTGGCCTTGACTGCCCCCCCCCCACATTACCCTTCTGGTGAGGACATCCAGGCCCCTCCTGGTAACTCACTGACCTTCACCCAACTATCTGTGCGGTGACAGGGTCAACATGGAGGCCTCTTCTCACCAGAGGGGGTGAGCTTCCCGGCCCTTGGGTAGCGTCACTGCCCCTCGCTCAGCCCCTTACCTGTCCTCCACCGGAAGCAGCGCTCCGCTGGCGTGGGCCACACCCTCCTCAGAGACGCCTGTGGCCTGGGCGACAGCTGCTAACTCCCCGGGGCCTTCAGTGATGTCCTCTGCCGGCCTGACCCGGGGCAGGCCCAGCTGGACGGCCATGCCGTTGCCCACGCCAAGGCCATCTGTGGGGGGCACGCTCATCATCCCAACAACTGGAGAAGCAGCGTTCTCTCCTTCATCTCCCCCACGCACCCCGGACAGCCCCCAGGGCTTCCGACAACACCCAATGCACAATTTGCTCCCAATTTTCTTTGTACATAGCCATGCTGTGGGGGAGCAGCCATTCCCTCCTCTTAAAGGGCTACACGTCCCCTCCCCAGCCCCCAGGGCCAGCTGGGAGGGGTATTTTCCCTCCTCTGGGTCGTCCCCTCCTCCTGTCTCCCCTTCCCCCCAATACTGGCACCTCAGTTCACCCCTACTCAGCCTTTGGCTCCCACAAACACTGAGGGAACACGGGGAGCGGCACCCCACCTCCCTAGGCCCAGCGCCAGTTTTCAACGCCATGCTTACAACTGCTCCCGCGAAACCCCCATCCCTCCAGGGCCTGCCCACGCCCAGGGCCCTGAGCAGACTGTGACTTCCCCCCAAAAGAGCCAGCTTGAGCCCCTGCCCCTTCCCGAGCTGCCCCTCTGCTCACCACCCCCACCGAGCACTCGGCTTTCGCCAGCCCCCTCACTGGGGGTCTCGGGCCCTCCAGCTTTTGTACGCCCCCCTCGACTTGCTCTCTTCTGGACTCCAGTTATTTCGCCCCGACTCTGGGGCTTTGGCCTCTTATCTCAATAAGCCATAGCGAGGAGAGGTCCGAGGAGGCGAGGAAGTGGGCGTGTCCCGCCAAATGCCCCGACGCCTCTGGAGCCGGGGCCTCACCATCTGAGTCTTCCCACGCTCCCATGCACACGCGCGCACCCACACGCACACGCACCCCGCCCTCCCGATCGTGGGCGGTGGGGGGCGGTGCCGAGACAGCAAGATACACAGTCCTGGACCAGAAGACCCTCCCCAGCTCTGCCTCCTCCT